ATATATATATTTCAAATAAATGCTGTTCTTTTGAACCTTCTAGTTATCAAAGTATCCTGAAAAAAAAAAAACTGCATCATGGTTTTCATAAAAAATACATAAAAATATATTGAATAGATATATAATATTTCACAATGATACTGTTTTACTGTATATTTGATCAAATAAACGCAGCCTTGATGAGCATGAGAGAGTTCTTTCAAAAACATAAAAAAACCATACCAACCTCAATTTCTTTAAAACATAGTGTAGTTGTAGTAATACAATTGTAGTTGTATTGTGTAGTATTTCTCTTACTTTATTTTGTCCTGTCAGTATAATTTTTTTTTCATAACATTAACTCATTGCACATTTTTTTCTTTCCATGGCCCTGTTCAACTACTGCACTTCATTTTCATAAAATAAATAAAATATTTGGCTTTAGTTATGCAAAACAGGAGAACAGGTTTAGAATAACTGGCTTTAGCCAACAAACATTCAAGACAAACAGTATGTCTTGAACGTGCAAAAACAAACACATTTAGCTGGCAAGTATTCAGAGGATCCCTAAAGAACATAAACCTTTAAACACTGTAAAAACACTTTACAGAAGTTTTATTTTTCTGTGTTACTAAGTTCTTTAGTAACTTAGTTCTTTTCCAGGTTATCAGAATAAGCTCTTTTGGATGTTTGACTCGTGAATCCCTGCTGTGATTACGTCTCTGCATTCTGTATTCTGATCTGTGTTTGATCCTGCAGCCGCTTCAGCCTCACGTGAGAGTTTGGGACTCCGTCAGTCTGTCCACGCTGCAGATCATCGGCCTCGGCACCTTTGAGAGAGGAGTTGGATCCCTCGCTTTCTCTAAAGCCGTGAGTCTAACGTCAGCCATCTAATCTGATTTCATTTCATTGCGCGTTTAATTAGCATTGCCTAACATCTGTTTTGATAATTGATAAACCTGGTATTTTTTGTTGTTGTTTTCAATTATTCTAATATTTTTCACAGTCTTGCACTGTGCTCTTCCTGGATCTGGGTCATGTTTGCATTTTCTTTTGTCAATAATTCTAATCTTGAAATCAGAATTTGCCATAAAATGTGACCCTGGACCACAAAACCAGTCATAAGGGTCAATTTTTCGAAATTGAGATTTATACATCATCTGAACGCTGAATAAATAAGCTTTCCATTGATGTATGGTTTGTTATGATAGGACAATATTTGGCCGAGATACAACTTGAAAAATATTTGAAAATCTGGAATCTGAGGGTGAAAAAAAATCTAAATATTGAGAAAATCACCTTTAAAGTTGTCCAAATTAAGTCCTTAGCAATGCATATTACTAATCAAAAATTAAGTTTTGATAAATTTACAGAAGGAAATTTACAAAATATCTTCATGGAACATGATCTTTACTTAACATTTACATTTACATTTACATTTAGTCATTTAGCAGACGCTTTTATCCAAAGCGACTTACAATTGGGGGATACATAAAGCGATTCTTCTTAAGAGGCAAACAGTTTTTTTTTATGATGAAGTCAAGTAGCTTCGAAAGAGATGGGTTTTCAGCTGTCGCTTGAAAATTGTCAGGGATTCAGCATTCCGGATAGGGGTGGGAAGATCGTTCCACCAGCCAGGAGTGGTGAACGAGAATGTTCTGGAAAGTGATTTTGAGCCTCTCTGTGATGGTACCACGAGGCGTCGCTCACTAGCGGATCTCAGACTTCTGAAGGGGATGTAGATTCGTAGTAGTGAGTGGAAGTAGGCGGGTGCTGAGTCTGTGGCTGTTCTATATGCAAGCATCAATGTCTTGAACTTGATTCGAGCCGCAACCGGTAGCCAGTGCAAGGAGATAAAGAGAGGTGTAACATGGGCTCTTTTGGGCTCGTTGAAGACCAGTCGTACCGCTGCATTCTGAATCATTTGTAGAGGTTTGATTGTGCTTGATGGAAGTCCAGCCAGAAGAGCATTGCAGTAGTCCAGCCTAGAGATGACAAGGGCCTGGACAAGAAGTTGTGCAGCATGCTCCGTTAGAAAGGGCCTGATCTTTCTGATGTTGTGCAATGCAAACCTGCAAGATCGAGCGGTCTTTGCAATGTGGTCTTTGAAGGTCAGCTGGTTATCAAAAGTTACACCAAGATTTCTGACTGAAGTTGATGGGGTAATTGTAGAAGACGTGTGAGTTGTGAGTTGTAAATGTGTTAACGTCCTAATGATTTTTGGCATAAAAGAAAAATCAATAATTTTGACCCATACAATGTATTTTTGGCTATTGCTACAAATATACCCCAGCGACTTAAGACTGGTTTTGTGGTCCAGGGTCACAAATAATATCATATATGTGAAAAGCAACTGATAATTAATCATGTTTGTAATATTTGTAATATTTATTAATAATTGGCTCAGAGGAAGTTAGGATTTCTTTTTTTTTTTTTTTCGCCTTTGTGACAGTTTTTCTGGTGATCAATGGATAATACAAGAGTTCATCACCTTACGAATGGTGGAAAACCAAGTTTTTATGAACCTGGTTGTTTCAACATCAAACACTGCACTTTTTGGTCATTCTCAGTGACTACGTTTGAATAAAGTCCTAATATAAACAGCTCTTTTCTGAGGTGACTGAAGAAACCGGAAGCTTTGTGATTGAGTGTTTGTTTGTAAACAGTAATTTAATCTAAAATGTTACAGTATGGAATTGTAATGCTCAATCTGTGTGTGCGTGTGTGTGTGTGTGTGTAGGACTCAGGCATTCATATCAGTGTGATTGATGACTCTAATGAGCACATGCTCACTGTGTGGGACTGGCAGAAGAAATCAAAAATCGCTGAGATTAAGGTTAGGGTCACACTTCTTTTATTCATTTTGTTCTCTTGTCTCACATATCACCACTCCCTTCCTTTGTTCCTTTCTTTTAGATTTCTTAGCCCTTATCTTATTTCCTCCTCCTCCATTCTTCTCAGTCCTTTTCATCTTGTTTCAGATTGTTGTCTTCCTTCTCGTCTTTTTATGTTTTGCCACGTCTGTTCCATTTGTACCTTTTTGCCCTGTTTCCCTGCACATTCCTCTTTTACCTCCTCTCATCTCTTTGTTCTTCATGTAATGATTTTTCCAATGTGCTGTTTTATTAGACAACCAATGAAGTGGTCTTAGCAGTGGAGTTTCACCCGACTGACGCCAACACCATTGTTACTTGTGGGAAATCCCATATCTTCTTCTGGACCTGGAGCGGTTCCTCACTCGCCCGCAAACAAGGCATCTTTGGCGTAAGGACACACACGCTTATATTTCTCATGGGGATTTTAAAGGAGTAGTTCACCCAAAATGTTGAAGAAATGCAGCATTCCATCACTTGCTTACCAGTGGAGTGAATGGGTGCCGTCAGAATGAGAGTCCAAACAGCTGATAAAAACATCACAATAAGTAATCTGATTCTGGTCCATCAATTAACAGCTCATGAAAAAAATGCCTGTTTTTAAGAAACAAACCCATCATTAAAGCATTTTAACTTTACAATTCTGGCCAAAATATGAATCCATAATCCATAATAACGCTTGCTCCAGTGAAAAATCCATCCCTTGTTGTCCTCTCACATTATGACTTTTTCACTGGATAGAAGACTTGTATTTTAGACGACAGTTTGAAGTTAAAATTGTCTTGATGAATTTCTTATGGATTATTGTGATTTTGACTTTTTGGATGTACTATTCCTTTTTTTGTGCTTTTTATTTAACAGTTGAGTTTCCCAGAGACTGAGTCATTACACTAGTTTCAAGATCCCTCTTGGTCTTGCAACTCATGAGTATAAGAGTGTTACAGATGATTTTAATCTTTAAATAATTTCAAAAACAGCATAAAAGTTTGAAATAAACAAATCGATTCAGAACTCTGAATCAGTGATTATTTAGCATGATGTCCATGGAGGTATCCATGATGCATTTTTTTTTAAATATTGAAAAGTTTTAGTAAAAATAGTTGTACTGTAGGTAAATATTGCTGCTTTTTACGATGTACTTTGTTATATTGTTTCATATATTTGTTATCATTTAGTGAATAACATTGTTAAAAACATAACATGATTATTATAACTAGATTTTTACTGTTTGGGGGAAAAAAATCACTATTTCAGTCAGAGAAAATACAGTAAATATTGAGCTATGTATGAAATGGAGTGAAAAGGAAGAAAAATATCAAGATCAATTTTATTTTAGCAACATATCCCAGCCCAATAAACATTTAAAGACTAATGCTGCAGTCAGCTTGATATACAAAGCACAGACTAGTACATAGTACATAGAGTTTATAAAACCTGACCTTATGTGTATTACTTTTGTTTTTGTGTCTATGACAGAAATATGAGAAGCCCAAATTTGTTCAGTGTTCAGCCTTCCTCAATAATGGAGACATCCTGACTGGAGACTCAGGAGGAATCATGCTGATATGGACCCGCAGCACCGCTGAACCAGCACCAGGGAAAGGGCCGAAAGGTAGACACTCGTCTCTCACACACACACACACACACACACACACATATGGGCCCATTATTAGCTCCGCCGGCATACTAAAACACATACCTTAAGCACATACATTAACATTCTCCTCATTTTTTTCCATCACCTGCATTTCCTTTAAAAAAAGTGCTGTGGAGGCAAGGGATGGTATCCTCCTCCAAACGCAGTCTGATCCTCTGCTCTGCTGCACGCTCTGAAAACAAACAGACAAGAGAAGTTCCTGCTCACCATAAAAGAAAATAAAGGAAGTAGAATGAGGCCAGATGCACGTAGGGTCAATGCAAAACCACATTCTGTTCTACCAAAAGACACATGCCATATTAACAGTAACAGGCAAGTTACTGCACAGGTCAGGACAGGCTGTAGGATTCACCTCTCTGACAACACTGCTGTAGGAAATCTTTGTTTATTTCTCATGTGAAAATTACATGAAAAGCTCAGTTTATGAGTGCCATTCCATAGTTTTTCACTTCAGTAGTAAAACACACTCAGTTAAAAAGAGGAATTTATTACACTATGGTAAATGCAACGAATAAAACCTCACTGACCCAGACATTTGACTTACTATGGCCCATGTGTGCCCCATCAGTTTATGTAAAATAGAGTTGAAAGAAATAATTTGCCATAATTTCTTTGCAGCAACTCTCTTATGCTTACTAAGGCTGCTTTTATTTTATCGGAAATACAGTAAAAACTGTAATATTGTGAAATATTGTATTACAGTTAACTGTTCTGTTTGAATATATACAGGTGCATCTCAATAAATTAGAATGTCGTGGAAAAGTTCATTTATTTCAGTAATTCAACTCAAATTGTGAAACTCGTGTATTAAATAAATTCAATGCACACAGACGGTTTTTGTTAAATGTGAGCCAAAATCATCACAATTAAAAGAACCAAAGACTTAAACTACTTCAGTCTGTGTGCATTGAATTTATTTAATACACGAGTTTCACAATTTGAGTTGAATTACTGAAATAAATGAACTTTTCCATGACATTCTAATTTATTGAGATGCACCTGTATATATATAAAAAAAAAAAAAAAATTTATTCCTGTGAGTCAAAGCTGATTTTTCAGCATCATTTCTCCAGTCTTTAGTGTCACATGATCCTTCAGAGATCATTTTAATATGCTACGAAACATTCTAACATTCTAACTGCTCAAGAAGCATTTCTTATTATTATCAGTGTTGAAAACAAAAAATGTTAGTACCCTGGCACATTAAGGTACCTTAATGTTATATTTTGTTTCTTCAATTCTATAATGTCCGTCAGTTGAGAATTATGTTAATGAGGCCAACAATCATTTCAGGAAAACAGTGACAGAAAGAGAAACTTCTAGAAACCCGTGGCAGAGAGTACCTTTTAAGAAGACTTTCATTGGAAGTCAACAGCTCGTGACATGTGACTGAAACTGTGTTTGCATGCACGCATATGCTAGTGTCTGTGTGCACAGGTTGACAGATTGTTTTCTCTGTGCTGATCCTGGAGTTGTAATGGTTTTCACTGGCATGCTGTGGAACTGGAATGGCTGCACCACAGGCTGAAACGCTGCCAGCTCCTGCTCATTTATCTCTCCTTTATTTACCCCCTCAATCTGTACATTACAGTCCAGTGACATAGCGCCCCCTAAAGGACAGAAACTACTACTACTGCTACTAGTCATAGAACCCAGTTGAGCACTTTAAATAGTTTTACTTGGTATTTTGAAATAAAATATGCCATTAACCTTTTAAAACATTCTGCAATTTTCAAAACTCAAACTCTTTCCTGAGTCCAAAGAAGTGCACTTATGGAAATTCAGCTGCCTGTAGCTCATCTCAAACTTCTACATAACCAACTGAATACATGAGCACATGACCGCCTATATTTACATATCAATGACACCTGATCAGAAGCTTGGCCCACACACAGTCACAGTCTTCAGTATTATTACACTACCGTTCAAAAGTTTGGGGTCAGTAAGATTTTTTTTATATTCAATTAAATTAATATTTATTAATAAATATTATGCATCAAATCAATCAAAAGTGACAGTAAGTAAAGACATTTATAATGTTACAAAAGATTTCTATTTCAAATAAACTTCTTATTCATCAAAGAATCCTGAAAGAAAGTATCACAGTTTCCACCAAAATCTTTTTTGCACCTTGATAATAATCAGACATGTTTCTTGAGCAGCAAATCAGCATATGAGAATGATTTCTTCAGTTCATGTGACATTGAAGACAGGAGTAATTCAGCTTTGCATCACAGAAATAAATTACATTTTAAAATATATTTAAATAGAATACAGTTATTTTAAATTGTAATGATATTTCACAATAGCACTGTTTTTACTGTATTTCTGATCAAATAAATTTGATGAGCATAAGAGGTTTCTTGCAAAAACATAAAAAAAATCATCCCGATCCCAGTTGTTGTCAACTTACTTTACCTAATTCTCCTCCAACTGTTGCTCCACCGCAGTATACAAGAGAAAACGTATTGTGTAATAAATTACATTTTGACTTGTTCAAAGCAATGGCATTTAAAATGCAACTTGCATAGACAGAAGCATCTGTTCTTGTATGTTTTGTGGATTAGTATTATGCTAAATGAGTTGAAAAATGGAGTGACCGTGCAAAACCAACAAACTGACAAGCACACACTTTATGAAAATGAGTTTCTGCTTGAGCTTCGTGACATCCTCCTGTTATGAAGCCTTACATGTGTTGCACCGGCCACTGAGATTCATTTCTTCTTTTCCTCTTAAGTCATTTGGCATATGTCATGTCCTGAACTGGCCTCGTCTAGCTGATTTCCTGTCTCTGCGTCTGTATGCTTGCAGATACCATGTAACTGTAGAAGTGTGGTAGTGCAGGTGTGATACAGTGTGTAATGTCAGACTGTTCAGAATCACACTCTGTTTCAGATAAGTGAGCGTGTGTGTAGAGTTATGTGTGTATTGACGGGGCCGGTTTAGCACTCCAGGGGTCTATATTTCCCTTGGCTTGGCTCTTTGTGCAGACAGCCGAGCCATCAGTATTATTACAGGGAGAAGTGATAATCTACTGGAATTCCCAGAATGCAACATCATCACACACACATGCACCCCTGGCCTCACTGGCAAGCATATCTATGAGCTTCTTTTTCTAAAAGCCCTATCACATCCCCAATAGCAAAACAGTCTGGCACTTAAACCACATTAGCCAGGAGAGATATTTGTAGTGTTCTATTCCCAGAAATTGTGTGTGAGTGGGTCTCCATCTGTCTTACTAACCCGCCCCATCCTCACAGGAGCGTTTCAGATCACGCGTCAGATCAAGGCTCACGATGGCAGCGTCTTTACACTGTGTCAGATGAGGAACGGCACTCTGCTCACAGGGGGCGGCAAAGACCACAAGATCATTCTGTGGGACCATGACCTGAATCCAGAGAGAGACATCGAGGTGAGAGACCAAGTTGTGCTAAAGCTCACACTCACACGTGCATGTTTTTAAAGAGATACATAGCTGATATACCGTACCATTCAAACGTTTGGAATAATTACACCTTCTTTTTTAATGTTTTTGAAAGAAGTCTTATGCAAACTGATCAAAAATACAGTAAAAACAGAAATAGTGTGTATTTTTTGTGAAAAAAAATACTAAAAAAATAAACAAATAAATATTCTTAGTGACCCCAAAATTTTGAACAGTAGTATAGATGATACTGATAAATATAAATAAGTTACACTTTGGAGACAATGTTACAGTGTAATTGGGTCAAATAATAAAAGTTTAATACAGCTGTACTTTATTTTTCTTTTACATACATTAGAATGTGTGCTGTTTATTTTTATTTTTTTCTGAATAAAAATGATTGACTATCAAACATGATTTTTACCAGACACCCACTAAAATGTAATTCAGTGTAACAATAGTTTATATACCAAAAAATCTTGTCAGTCATATATAGAACAAGAATCATTAGATGGCATTAAAATAATATTTTAACGAACAAAGTGCAGCCTCACAAAAACTTCCTCATTTTAATTTGAAATCTTTACCAATATTTGCCACTATCCTTTAAACCGCTAGGTTTTACCCATTTGTCAGCAAGTTTTTAATCATTTAAAATATAATAAAATTTAGTATGATGACCTTTTCTTTTATATATATTTAGAAGTACAGGTCAGAATAAGTATGTTGTTTCAATTTTGCATAAAAATATCTACTGCACTGAATGACGATGGAACATTATTTCACCCATATTATTTTCACAAGTTATTTGAAACATTAAAGTAGTCACTTTATTTGTATTTAATATGCTTTCTGTGTGTATAAAATCGCTATTATAAATTTAATTTGATGCAGACACCAAAATGAGACATCTCATCTTTTAGCCAATTACACAAATAAGAACGAGAGTATAATATTAAATAACTGCATATGCTTACTTTAGGGTTTGGTTTAGGGTTAGTTACTTGTAATTATGCATAATTTACTGTAACACTAGTAAATGTAACGTGTAACTATATCACCTTAAAATACAGTGTTACCAGTAAATCATAGGATATAATATGAGAAACATAACAAGCTCCTGTAACAACATAAGAAATTAACATATCTATAATGTCTGTTTGCTTTTCTTCAGGTCCCAGATCAATATGGCACTATTCGTGCAGTAGCCGAGGGCAAGGGGGAGCAGTTTTTGGTGGGCACATCACGCAACTTCATTCTGAGAGGCACTTTCAACGATGGATTCCAGGTGGAAGTGCAGGTAAACCAGAACTTTAAGTCACACTGTATGTATTTCATGTGCAGCCTTATACTCTTACAAATAAAGGTTTCAAAAGGGGATTTTTGCAGTGATGCCATGGAAGAACCATTTCTAGTTCCCCAAAGAACCTTTCAGTGAACAGTTCCTAAAATAACCCTTTTTTTTCTTAGTGTGAAAGTTATTTTAATGATCTGAAGAACCTTTTTTCTCCATTATACAGAATCTTCTGTGGAATGGAAAGATTCCATGGGTGTTAAAGGTTCTTCATGCAACCACCAATGCCAATAAAGAACCTTTATTTTTAAGAGTATAGTGAAGATCAATAAGCAGTTCCACACTCACTGTACACATGCTTACAAAACCAAAGCCAGTAATCTTAATATCTCAAATACATACAAAGAGCCAGTGGATATCAAACATGTGCTTGTACCTGCAGTCGTAGTTGTGGAGTTAGTTTCATGGGAGTTGCTATTTTTAGGGACACACGGATGAGCTGTGGGGTCTGGCCGCCCACCCGTTCAAGGACCTGTTTCTCACCTGTGCTCAGGACAGACAGGTGTGTCTGTGGAACTCAGTGTACCACACACTGGAATGGACCAGACTGCTGGACGTAAGACACTCCCACAAACACACATTTGCATACACATGCTCTGACGGTCAGTGGCCTGTTAAATATTACACATGTTAATAATAATAATAATTAGAGCCCGACCGATATATCGTTTTGCCGATTTTATCGGCCGATATGAGCCTGTCGCAGATATATCGGTATCGGCGAATATGCTGCCGATATGCCACCGATATGAACATTTTGTTGCAGAACATAAAACGCAGATAAAAAGCTTGTTAATGGTGTAATTACGTAGTTTGTCCAGCAGAGCACGCTCCATTGTTTGCTACTGGTGACCTGGATGAAACGCTTTAAAGCTTAAATGCATAGTTCACCCAAAAATGAAAATTTGATGTTTATCTGCTTTACCCCCAGTAGGTGTAGGTGACTTTGTTTCTTCAGTAGAACACAAACGAAGATTTTTAACACAAACCGTTGCAGTCTTTCAGTCATATAATGTAAGTGGATGGGAATCACGGCTTTGAGAGTCACAAAAACATACACAAACTAAACCAAATTAAACCCTGCGGCTCGTGACGATACATTGATGTGTAAAGACACAAAACGATCGGTCTGTGCAAGAAACTGAACAGTATTTATATCGTTTTTTACCTCTGATTCACGCAATGTCCGAACTGTTCGGACTGTCCTGAAGCGCTTCCTGAGCGCTTCAGACGCGTCACGCACCTGCTGTTGAGAACGCGCTTAGGACAGTTCGTAAGGGGTAAGCAGATAAACATCAAATTTTCATTTTTGGGTGAACTATCCCTTTAAGTGTATGGAATACCATTGAAACTTTGAACGACCATATCTCCGTAACGGCACGGCGGATCCGCACCAAATTTGGGGGATCAGCTTCAGCTCGAGGAACCCTCTCGAACGCCTAATCGAGCGTACGTCTCAAGGCCCCCTTTCGAATGAAACCACCGCCTTTCGATAGTCCGGGAGTTATGGGCGGTTAAATTCGCCAACCGATCTGGCGATCCCGGGGGGCTACTGTTGCGCGGAGGATGGAGTTCGAGAGGGCTCCGCGAGCTGAAGGGATCCCCCGAATTTGGTGGAGATCCGCCGCCGCATTCGCGGCCAACACTTTCACTTCAGTAAGGAGGTCTCTTGTTCAGGCAGCAGCATTCAAGCGTTGTCTTATTCCAAACTTTTGACTGGTACTGTACTATATTATACACAAAGAATATCGGGCGATATATCGATATCGGCCTTTTTTTACTCCCTTATATTGGTATCGGCATCGGCCACCCAAAAAAACCATATCGGTCGGGCTCTAATAATAATAATAGACACAATATGCTGCCTTTTCTCTAGGTAATCAGCCTCAAGGGTTATGTTAGAGATGGCCTTAAAAGGCATAACCTTTTGGGGGTTAATTTTTGTAACAGTCAAATCCATCCAGTGCTGCAGTTATGTTCTATACTTTAGACTTAATTTCACTGGTTACTGGCATAAATGATGCAATATCAGCATTTTCTATCGTATTCTGCAAACAAAGTTTAGGCTGGTTAAATTATGGCCCAGTGTTTTGTTCTTCTGAAAATACCAAAGAAATTAAACTTGTTTGTGGAAACGTTCTCTTTATCCAGATGTAATACGTACTGAACATTTCAGAGGCATCTCAGAAAACAAAGCGGAATAAACAATAATAAACTTTGACACATGCCATGACATTTAGTGGTTCCTGAAAAAACCCTTTTATTAAGACATTAGTAAAAAGTCAGCTTGCGCAGTTTGGCAAATACTGACTTAATGTAAGAGCGGTTACTGTTTTTTGACAGTGTGTCTCTGAGCTAAGACTATGGTTAGAAGGACCTTGAAAGATTGAAAGATACCCCAAATAACCACTAAATACCCCTCGTCATCTTAACTGTAGGCTGTTTACATTTGTATGCAGTAATACAGTATTTAGTTGAAGTATGTATATCAGGTTATGTTTTCAATTTTTGTCACCTCATCCACGCATTTAGAGCAGTGGTTCTTAACCAGGTGGCCAGGACCCACTATTTTCTTTCTTGCTTTTTTTTTATTTTTTTCTTCTCTCTTGTAAACAACTGAATTTAAGAACCAAGGTTCCCACAGTCTTGGAAAACCTGGATACTGTATGTGAGGGAAGTGTGATGATTCAAAAAAAATAATTAAACCTGGAAAAGACATGGAAATTTGTACATCATGGAAATCTGGAAATAAATGTTTTTTTTTTTTTTTACGTTTTTAAGTTCTAAAAATTAAAAGGTAAAAATTTGAAAGAAAAAAAAGTAAACTCTCGTCAAGAAAAACTGGAAACATCATGCAGATGCATTGGTCATAAAAAGTGTAAATTTGAAATGCATTTAGTTCTTAAAACACTTCAAATTCTGAAATATTTTAATAATTATTAATTCTAATTATATATAATTAGAATTATTTTAATGCATTGTCACTTTTAGTGTCTGTAAAAGTTTAAAAGCACCTTTCATTTCAGCAGAAATATGTTTGCCTGATGAAGGTCAGTGGACCGAAACGTTGCGTTTAATAAAGTTTAAGAATTAGCAAGTATTGATAGTGTGTGGGTTCGTTACTTATTTTTGATTCAACTTTTTGAATTTTTTTTCTTTTGAAAGAACTCTGTTTTTTAATAGAGTCTCGTACTCTTTGTGCGTGACAGTATTGATGGTGTTTGTGTGTTTTTAGGAGCACGGGCACTGCGCAGATTTCCATCCTAGCGGTTCGGTTGTTGCCATTGGTACTCACTCAGGGAAGTAAGTGATCTCTATGTCATCTCTAGTCAAGCTGGCATGAATAACTAACACATTTAACGTAAAAATGGTTTGACGGCTGTAGTGCAGACATTGTTTTGTTTGCGTCTCAGGTGGTATGCTCTGGACGCAGAGATGCGAGACCTGGTGGCCATTCACACAGACGGCAATGAGCAGCTGTCATTAATGCGCTACTCTCTCGGTGAGTAGGAGTGTTGTTTGTTTGCACTCTGTTTTTTTTTTTTTTGCATTTCTGTGTTGAGCAGACAGCCAAATGTCTCTCTGTCTCTCCTCAAGATGGCACGCTGCTGGCAGTGGGATCACATGATAACTTCATTTACCTCTACACGGTGTCGGATAAGGGACGCAAGTACAGCAGATATGGTTTTTTTCTTGCATTTCTGTGCCGAGCAGACAACCAGACGTCTCTGTGTCTCTCCTCAGATGGCACGCTGCTGGCAGTGGGATCACATGATAACTTCATTTACCTCTACACGGTGTCGGATAAGGGACGCAAGTACAGCAGATATGGGAAATGCACTGTGAGTATCTGACATTCACGTGACTGTTTGTGTTCTAGCATTAAAAAAAAGAAAAGAAAATCATGAAATATATATATTTTTTTTGTGTAGACAGTTATAAATATAACAATACAAAGATTACATTTTCAAAGGTTACAAGAATTTGCAACATGCATTTTAAATGTATTTGTCATCAAGCCATAAATAATGAATTGAGATTTATTTTACAATTCATGTAATTGTTTTATGGCTGTATTATTGTCTATTTTCACTATTTCCTTTTCTGCTGGATTCGAGGGGTCAGGGCAGAGTGGAGAATAAAACTTTACCGTGCGTGACCGTTTGCCCATGTCTGACCTGGGTCTCGTTTCGCTCGACTGTACTCCATCAACACACTCTGAATCACACTACTGTTCTTCTGATTCTTTACGTTTTCTTGCATTTTTTAGTATTTTTCTGTGCAGCTTTTCAGCAGTTGAAAAGTTTAATGTTATTAACATCTGTGCTCGATCACAGTAATAATAGTCATTCTCTGAAACGGGTGCCTTACAGAGTACATTTCTATGTATTTATTATATAATGTGATTGAAATATCGTGAATGGAAAAATCAATGCAATTTGTCATGACAAAATGTTGAATTTTGAATAGAACTATGACTGGCTATCCAGACATATAAAAAAACACCACTGTTTGAAAAGTTCAATAATGTTTAAATGTTTTTTTAAAGAAGTCTCTATCACATCATCATCATATAATGCTTTAATGAAATACATTCATAATTAATTTAGAATGAATACATTTTATCTTAAAAACACTTAAAAAAAAAAAAAACAGATTTCTGTATTTAGTGCTCTTCATTAAACATGGACACAAATGGTTCTCCTTTTATAGCATAACCCAATTACGATATTACTGATGGAAGCGAAATCATTTTCACATGGTCAGTTTTTTTCAGTGTGTGTGATAGTCTGTCCTTTGATGACACGTCATAAAGAGAGTGAAGAAACACCGGTTTTGAAATGGCTGAAGATGTCAGTGTGATTTCAGCAGACAGAATGAAAGCGTGCCTCTCTTTCAGCACTCTTGACTGCCTGACACGTCTGAGCTTCCAGAGGGAATTCAGACATAGTGGGAGCGCTGGCCTGTTGTTTTATTGATGCTGGCAGACGAATCGCTCATGTGTCTGTCAGCGTCATATTAACTGTTGATCAAAAATAGCCTTAAACCTATACACTTTTTTTGGTTTGTTTTATTTAGTAACTTTCAGGAGGGTGTACTCATTTTTGCAACACAAAATGTTATCACTTTGATAAGAAAATCTTATTTTGCTGAATAATTTTGGCATTCTTCTTTGGTAATTGATCAAGCAGGCTTTTTGGAACATTACATCTCCAAAGAACCCTAACATGTCTCCTAAGAAAAGAGTAATTGCTGAATTTGTTAGGTTTTAGAGGGGGTGTACTCGTTTATGCTGTGCACTGTATGTGCTTGTGGATATTATAGTGATGAGGTCAAAAATACCTTCCCTTGTTACAGTTAGTTAGGATTTTAAGTTTCTTACTTCTCGCTATCAGTTTAAAATGGACTTTAACAGAATATTAAATTACCACCAACATAAAATTGCATTTATCAAGCACAAAAAAATATAAATTTATTTATTTAGGATCTCAACGTCAAATTTGGACACATTAAATAAAATTTGAAAATTTAAAGTAAATTCAAATGTATACACTTAAGTAAACACTATAAGTTAAAACATAGTGATAAACATAATTGTTTAAATGCAGAAAAACGATAGGGACAGAAGGGCGATGACTTGAAACATCTTCCTTGTGTAAAAATAAATAAATACGTAGGATAAATAATGTTCTGATTTACTGAACTGACTCCCTAAATGATACCAAAATATACATGCATTTTTTGTGACTCCACACATCAGATTGGGAAACATTACTTGTTCCTGGAAAAGCTACAACCTGAGATACTAGGCGCATTTCCATTACAGATTTGCGCAAAACTTTGGCGATATTTTATAAATGTCGATAAAAAAGTATTGCGAAATGACGGCGTTTCCATTAACCAATGTTATGAGATTTAAACGTAACCTTTTGCCTCTCGCGATAAGTCATGGCAATGGATTTTGGTGGGATTTTGGCTATATTTATTCAAAGGAGGCTTATGCGTGTATCTTTTACACAAGCAGCAATTTGCGCAATTTGAAGGGTAATGGAAACGCGCCTACTGACAGGCTACTGATGAATGTCGTAATTAAGTTTGTAGTGTGGCTTCTAGCTAGTTACACCCCATTGTTGTACACTGATGTGTCTCTGTGTTTGCTGTGTAACAGGTGTTTGGCCGGAAGGTTCAGATGGGACAGATATCAATGCCCTTGTGCGATCTCACAACAGGAAGGTGATCGCTCTGGCTGATGACTTCTGTAAAGTGCACCTTTTCCAGTACCCCTGCTCAAGACCGAAGGTCTGTCACATCACTTTACTGTCGTATTTTAAAGAGTATCTTTACTTTTACATTTTAGAATGTGATGTGTATTAGTTGTTGGTTAAATGTCTGAAGCCAGACATAAGGGTTTGAAACAGTAAATCAGTTTGATTCAAGATTCAGTTTGTTTTAATACACTGAACAGCAATTTGATTCAGTTACTTTTTAAGTTACAGGATTTATTTTCTTTAAAACTTTAGCGAAAATTGACCCTATCTGTTTTCTAAATGAATGTTATTGATTTTATTGTGAACAATTTACTCATGCAGTTGTTTTTTGACCTCGTAATTCTTAAAGTCATTCTTCCAATGAAACTACAGACTTCTCCAATCATTTATTCAACTTAAACTCTGCCCCTTTCTTAAGATTGACTGCAAGATCACATTCAGATCTGCCTCCATCCAATCAACAACTATTGGATTGTCACTATCCTACTTTTTTTTTGGGGGGGGTAATCCATTGTACATCACAACACAATATGGATTTTAGCGCAACGTTGATAATATTTGAGGAGGGGGTAATGAAATGCAGTTCTGTCAAACGATTAATCGCGATTAATCGCATCCAAAATAAAAGTTTTTGTTTGCATAATATATGTGTGTGTACTGTGTATATTTATTATGTATATATAAATACACACACATGCATGTATATATTTCAGAAAAATATGTTATGTTTGTATATTAAATATATTTCTTTATAATATAAATTATATGATGTGTAAATACATGTAAATATTTTCAAAATATATACTGTGTGTATGTGTATTTATATATACATCATAAATATACACAACACACACACATACACACACATATATTATGCAAACAAAAACTTTTATTTTGTATGTGATTAATCGCGATTAATCATTTGACAGCACTAATGAAATGTGACTGGACATGTTCTTGACAATATGAGCTGTAATTGGCTGAAATTCATGAAGCCTGGGGGGTATTATATCATCTCGTTAACTGAAATTTCACTAGTATTATTATTTAATTGCAGGCCCCAAGCTACAAGTACAGTGCCCACAGCAGTCACGTGACAAACGTGAGCTTCATGCACAGCGACAGTCACCTGATTTCAACGGGCGGCAAGGACATGAGCATCATGCAGTGGCGTCTGGTGGAGAAGACCTCATCCTTGGTGCACAGCGACTCCAGCCTGGGCCTGGGCGATTCCCTGCTGCACAACTCCACCCCTCGCACCCTGCCATCGGTACCCAGCGTTCCCCACACTCCTACTGAGCCCATGCCGGTGCCAGCCTCGCTACCCATCAGCAGCCAACCCAACACCAACACTCCCCCTCTCACTCCCACCGAACCCCTGCACACAGTTACTCCTAATGGACAGCAGGACGGCTCCCCCGAAACCCCGCCCCTTTCAGATGAGGCCACATCCACATCCGATAGCACCCTGAGCCCCAAGGACAGCCTAGAGCCTAGCGACGATACAGCCACACCCAGTGATGAGGGCACAACCTTTAACCCGCCCTTATAAGGCAGTCCGACCCCTTCTCTCGCCTGCTCGATAGCCCGCCCAAAGGCACCAGCATGTCACTGCAGCCTCCCTGTCGGATTACAAAAGCAGGGTCTCCTCAGTTTTTTATCCTTTCAAGATTTTCTTTTCATTTCATGTCTTAGTTTTGTTGTTATGTTGACATTCAGTAGATGTGGTTGTGGAGGCATTGGTTTGGGTTGGATGGTTGGAGGTTTGGAATGTGTAGTTAAAAACCTTTGGAAAGATTTAGCACACCTACAAGTTTACACTGACACACACACACACACGCATGCATACACTACCACACAAACACTAATACACATGCATAGACACATCGATAACTGTGATACATTAAAAAGGAGAAGAAAGCAAATGATTTACCAGTTTTAGATTCATGTAAACAGATAAACGGACAAATACTACATAAAATGGACACATGCTTTCAATTTATTGGCATTTGGCATATACATCAATACACTTACTGCTTAAGGATCAATAACTAAGGATGAATTAAGTTGAATTACCAGACCTTTTCCTCACTTTCCTCACCCAACAAAATGAACTTTCTGTATTTATTTACTCATCCTCATGTCATTCCAAACCTGTATGACTGACTTTCTTCTGTGGAACACAGATGTTTCATAAATGTTTTAAAGATGTTTAATAAATGTTTCGAGGATCTTTCGAAGATCTGTCGACAATCTTTAGAAGATGTTTCGAGGATCTTTCGACTGTTTTTGTCCATACAATGAAAGTCAATTGGGTCCAAATCAACATTGGACCACTTTGACTTTCATTCTTCAAAATATCTTTTCATTTGTTGTGCAAAAGGCAAGTCATATAGGTTTGGAACAACGTGAAGTTGAGTAAATGATGTTAATTTTTTGGGTAAACTATCCCTTTAAATGAGTAAACCTCTTGCTCTCTGTGAACATTGGTGGAGGGCTGCATGTAAAGCTGATTTGCATGCTTGCATAGCATCTGTCCCTGAGCCAAAAACTGCAGGACATATATATCTGGTGACGCCAGACAGGTGCCCCTGGCTCATTGGTTGGACTCAAGAACCTCAATAATTCAAGCTGCTTCTGCCGGTCGCCATGGTCACTGACACCTTGAATTTCAACTCGGCACAATTATCGCCGCTTTACAGAAGAATAGCCATAAACAGCAGAGCACTTCATTCAGCACAAACACAAGTAACACACACACACACACACACACACAAGCCTGACCTGCCTCAAAATGGGGTCTGCATGGCGATAGCCGAGCTATTTTATAAAAACCCGCCTGTCTAAAGATGCCGTACGGACCCTCACATCTCCCTCAGTTTCCTCTGTTGGACTGGAGAACCTCCTCTGTTCTCATACCATCCATTTTAACCTTGCATCCAAATGACTCTCTTCTCACTGAGACTGAATTGTTTTTAGGTTTCATTTTGGGACTGTTTTTCTTGTCATTTTGTTCATTGGACTGAGATGTTTTTGTTTTTTATCATATGAGAGAAACGATAGATTAAACGAGTCTTAAATGTGCGTGAGTGTGTATGTGCGCGCAAGTTGCCGCTTCTTTCATTCCGCTGAAGGGTGATCGCCCTCCCCCTCTCTCCCTCACATTTCTCAGGATCACTCTTTTTGGAGTCCAAAAGAGAAAGAATGTCAAAGGATGAAATGTTTTTCCCCACTCCTTTTTGTAACGCTTACAAAAACAGTACCAGAAAGTACCATGATAATACCCTGGAATTATTTGCACCATATTTGGCTAATTTAGGTAATTTGCGACATTGCGACACATTTTTTGACATTGCCAGGATGGAATATCATGGTGTTTGAGTATGGTGTGATATTATATTTATATATATGGTGATGAGATGGGAGGAAACATTATATTTCAATGCTTTTGCATTCTCTTGTAAATGTATTGTGTTCCTCTGGAAAAAAAAAAAGCTTTTTCTTGCAAAAGTAGTGCATTCCCCTGAGAAATTTTGCTCTCATTCACAAAACATTTGCGTTTTCTCGCAAAACTATTGCGTTGCGCTGAGAAACTTTGCGTTCTCTTGTGAAACATTTGTATTCTGTAAAAGTATTGTGTTCTCCCGAGAAAGTTTGCATTCATTCACGAAACAATTGCGTTTTCTTCCCAAACTACTGCATTCCCCTGAGAAACTGTGTTTGCTCGTAAAAGCACTCAAATACAGCTTTTCTTCCCAACTTGTATTATTTCCATCACAAAAGATTTGTGAGAGAACACAAGAGAATGCAAAAGCATTGAAATATAATTTGGTATTACCATATGATACCATGGTACTGCCACAGTACTTTTTTGTAAGAGGATGCTCTCCCAAGCCTTTGTATGTTTCCCTCAACAATGCATGGAGATATGGATGAAAAAGAAGCTTATTGAAGATGAAACCGCATTCGGAGATGCCGATGCCTTGAGTTGAAGTGAATCTTTTCTCTGAAACTAATCAATATCAGAGAAATGCAAGAGCACAGCTGCTGAGAGAGATTCCCTCCAGTGCTGCTTGATGAATGTGAACCTAAATCATCAATAGTACACCAGAACATCAAATCATCAAAGAGAGACATCAAAACAGCTCTCAAACCAACTTTGGAGGCAACCTCAAGATTTTAAAGCATTGCAGAGTATTAAAACACATTGTATGTGCAGTCTATGTGCACAAAGGCTTGAAAAAGCATGGTTTACATGCTCAGATACAATGCTGTATTGATGTATGGAATTGAGAAGCCTGGTTCAAATACGCATTTACAGCAATTTGGTTTTTCTTCCTTTTTTTTTTTTAATCGTGAAAGAATGACAATCTTCTGTAATGTGTATAACACAATACACATCATCATTCAGATGCTAAGTATTTTACCCAACTGCCTCAAATTCATATGTCTGATCCAGTTGTTTTAGGTGATTTTTAAGTGCATGAAATGGATGTAATAGTGGACTAGGTGGCTTTAGCAATGTTTAGATGGGTAGATGGAATGATACCTGATTGTTTTCGTGGTGTTGATGTTTTTATGCAACGTTACGCTGTAGATGGTGATGAGTTGAACGCCCCTCAGCTGGTCTGCAGTTTCCTTTTTATAACTTTTTATGAATGCTTTATGGACTATTCCTGTTTTTTAAGCAAGTTGGAAGGTTTTCACTGAGATTAACTTAGTTAGGTTTTCCATGGACTTCCATGTTTGATGTTTTTGTCTTGTCCTATACAGTGGGACACTTAAGCCACATTTAAAAATGTATTAATTTCCTAGCATTAGATAGTGAAGTGTCAAGTAAATGCAAGTAGCAATCAAAATAGACAAATGGCTCAGAAAAAGTGAATTTGGAAAGCTCATATTGCATCTAATTTAATGGCATTCAGACATTTTTAAGTGGGTCTTGAGTATCAGAATAATTTTTGAGGCCACTAGCTAGGCTCTTCTGAACATCTGGCATCTTAAACTTCAGGACACCATTGATATCAAAAGGGCAACTCTCAGAAGCTTTACACAAGTTGCAAACGAGGATGTCGATCTTTCACAGACCTTTATTGTTGCATTCAGGGCTGGCTTTATTGTGTATATATTGGTGTACCTGTATGTATATAACTATTTTGTCGGTTGGTAGGTTCTCTGAAAGGGCAATGATTCCATGTTTGTTTTCATCCACGAAAAAGCTAGGGGACTGTTCTTCTGCAGATGCAGGTATAGTGGCCTTTTGGCATGAGTTCAGATTTTCGGATTTGTTGCACTGTGGCCGGTGTTTCTCTACCTGGAAATTTCTCAATTTGGAGACTCCAGGGCTTTTCTATAGACCTGTCACTTCCAAGAACATACTCGTTTATCTGAAACCTGTTAGCCGAATGGAGCGTTGCATACAGAAATGTTTTTTTGAATGTCACAGATTATTTGCCTTGTTATTTGATATTGAAAAGAATGGTGAGTGTGTTGGTAGTAGTAATAGTGAAGGGTTTGGGTATTTTGAGAGAGTATTCAAAAACACAAGAGTGAAGCCATTGATGTCAATGTACTGGTGTTCACCATTGAGGAGACTGCTGTTTGTGTTTTAATATCTGCTAATACCCAAGAGCTAATTTCCAAAATATACATGGGGAGAGAGAGGGAATGGAAAAGTCCAGTTGGTGATTGTATCTACACTTGGAGGAAATGGGCTTGAGTACAGCTCTGGACTTCTAAATGCTTTGCTGTTTGCAGGGCGTCTGACTATATCCTCATCGAATAAAGGTGCGGAGATGAAACTAAGCTTTTCTGATAAACAGAATATGAAAACCACAATGATGATCTGCAAATGATTCAATGATGTTAACAAAATATGAAAAGGCAAAACTTTTTTTTTTTTTTTTTCTTGTGACAAAGTTTGAGCCAATCTG